AACATCCAGTGTAAAACTAAAGAAGCAAACTGGTCTTGGGTGATTGACTACATCTGGGGTAAAGAGGGGATAAAGAGTAAATTTAATTAAAGTTTCTATTATATATTCACAAAAACATTCTCCCTCCTGCCTTCCTAAGACCAAGAATCCAAGCAGTCCGCTCAGACGCATTAAAAAGCCATTAGTTACGGTGTGCTGCAGCGATTTGCATAAAGCGTTTGGTGGGAAGATGAGCAGCTGTAAGACCAACGGCTCTGAGCTCATTTTACACGCCACACATAACAATGCAGCTTTGGTGTTTTGGAGTTTCACTGCAGCCTTAACAAAGCTCCATAGTCTCAGTGTGAACACCGGCGTGGAACTCCCCCCAAGACTTCACCACAGCATAAGACAATCATAATGATCTTTACACAATGACGGGACTTTTCTTTTGAAATCTTCCATGCAAGGCTGGATTTTCACTACACTACCAGATCAACACTGCCTATTCCGGGCCTCTGGCCACAACACGTCACATTTTGGCCACTAAAAATGCAGAGCTTGTGGCCCAATTGACCACTTATCTTGGGGACATTTTTGCGTTTCTTTCTCTTTTTACAAACCACCAGGCCAGTTTACATATTTTACACCATTAATAACAAAATCACTCATTTTCACGAACCTGCGAGATCCAGTGGGATTTTAATGCCATCAAATCAGATTTTGTTAGAATATGGTGTCCATATGTCGCCCACTAAAGCCTAAACTAATAATTTAAAGTGTCAGGTCAGATTTCGCAGGTGTTTTTCAGACCACGTGTCCATACATTACACAAACAGACTCCAAAAAAATGGCTTAATGTTTAGGTCTGAAATTCAAAATCAACATTATACTGATGAAGATATGATGACAATAGCAGATAATTCACTCACATCCTCAGGAGACGCTCCTTCACCAAGTTTAGACTGCTTAGAGTTTTCTTTGAATTCTCTTTTAAGCATCAGATTCATCCATTCAGGGAAGGGGCCCGAATCACAACCCACGTTACAAACTGCTCTTCCACATTTGCATGCAATTACATTCTTTCACCAGAGAGGTCTCCAAATCCCCAAAATGTACATAGTGTAATGTTAACTTTACCACTGTGACAGCAAGTAGCGTCTTTCTAGTACTTTTTTACCAGCATATGTCATATAAAATATGACTTTACTGCCAGTGGCGGTGCTGACAAACAAGAAACAGGTAACTATAATGACTACATAATTACAAAGCATAGAGTTGAGTGGAAGGAAAAATTCACATTCATCATTCTTTGCCAGAGTCAGTGATCCCAGTTCCAAACCTGCAGGGCATCACTGACTATATGGTGATAAATGAGGATCCCTTCGCGTCATTCTTTGGTCTGCCTGGTGTAACAAAGTGGATATGCTGAAATTGTAGCAAAAAAGCAACACCTGGATGTTTTTTGGTACTGAAACATGCTTGTTAATTGTTAATATAATATAAACAATAAATATGTTTCTATAATTCTGGCCATAAATTCTTTACTTGGGTCACATTAATTGGTTGAGGTACCAGTGCATTTTTATCTGTCTATAAACAAAACATAGTAAACATACTCAGCAGATCAAAATATTGAGGACCTTACATTTCGAGAAGTGTTAGATCTTCAATTAAATAAGAAAAATCCTAAATATTAGGTGACCGTAAAGCAGCTAAGCGCTAATCCTTTTAGCTTCAGCACTTCATGTTCATCAAAGAGTCTTCCTTGATATGAAGAGCAGGTTTTGCCTAAATAATAATTTGGCAGTTTTCTTTTCAAGCTGTAGTTAAAAGCACAGATTGGAACTCTTTTGGCCCATAGGTGGTTAAAACACCTGACAGGTTTAGGGGATAAAATGCAAAGCACACGGCTCTGATGTCAATGTAGGGCTTTTAGCACAATATAAACCGTTTCTGTTAATTGTTGAGAAGCTAGGTGTCCTCAAACTTTTGATGGGCGGTGACCATTCTCTGACTACATGGTCGAATGGATCTAATCCCAGCAACGCTTGGCCTAGTTACTCTGTAAACAATTTATCACCCAAATATACATATATATCTAACGGCGTAGGCAGTGTTTCTGCAAACAGATAAGCTAATGGAGTAGTGCAAACGTGCAGCGTGAAGGTAAAAGAAAAGAGAAGATGCCTCTGTAAAAACAGCTTAAGCCTATGTAGCCGCAACAAAGCCCATCTGCTCTGAATTAGCGCCAGTCTGTGGGAGTTACTGTACTCATGAACTGTTGATAGAGTTGATAGAGCTACAAAAACACGTCCAGATCGTAGGCATGCTGGCAGAAAAAGAAAGTGATTGTGGCCGAAAAATAGGGGATGCTGATGTTCTTGAACATCTGGAAGCTCTTTACAGTGCGACTCACAGGACAGAACTTGCTATGGCAGCTGGTGCTGTTTTCTGGCACGTCGCCTCTTATTGAACAAATGTGCAAGGTGTGTTTCACAGTGGGCGGGCACAGGGAGGCGAGCGCACAAAGTTGTAGATGGATGTGTAAGGCTGTAAACGGGTTTGTAAGGCCGTAAAAGAGGCATACAAGGCTGCACAACAGGCATGTAAGTCTGTACGACAGGCGTGTAAGCTGTTCGACAGGCGTGCAAGGCTATAAGACAGGCATGTAAGGCTATAGAAACTACTTACAGCCTGAAATAGTATGCGACAGGCGTGTAAGCCTATAAGACGTGTGTATAACTCTGTATAACAGAATGTGTGGAAGACTGTACGTCTGTAACTGTAAGTCTTACATGCCTGGAAGGCATGTGGAGGTGTAATACAGGTCCATTAGAGTCCATTCACACTTGTGTTTGACTCAGTATGACATTATAAGACTGTGAGACTTGTAGGGCTTTAAGTCATGCACGGCATGTAAGGCAAACAACAGTTCTATAACACTGCCTGACAGGTGTATAACAGGCGCATAAGGCCGTAGGTCTACAGGACTGTAAAAAGAACCACAAGACTGTAGCTATCCTCAGGCTTCAAGTTTACTAGGCTTTAAATCAGGCACCTAAGACTGTTAAGCAGATCTATAAGGCCTGTAAGTCGAGTAAGTCAGATGTAGTAGGTACATTCAGGCAAAACAAGCTGTAAACAGTCCTATATGACTGAGCATGTCTGTAAGTCTGTTAACATCTTCTTCCCAGGCTGTCAAAGCCACAACCCAAAGGAAAACTCCCTCATTAAAGCCCTCAACAAGTTTCTGCAGAGAGGAAACCTTCATGTCAATGTCAGGCAAACACAAAGTTCGCAGAGTAAACTAGTTGAATGAGACTGTAAAGAGGCATGTAAGGCTATAAGTCTGGTGTGTACAAGTGTATATTAAATGTATAAGGCTGTGAACAAGTCTATAAGGCTATAATACAGTTCTATAGCAGTTCTATGAGACTGCCAAACAGGTCTATATAGCTTTAAACAGGTCTGTAAGGCTTTAAGACAGTCCTTCAGTTCAACAAGACTGCTGAATGGGTCTGCAAAACTGTAAACAACTCTGTAAGCCTTTAAGACAGTTCAGTAACAGTTCTAAGGCTGTTAGGTCTATAAGAACTGTTATAGAACTGTCTCAAAGACTTACTGTCTTGATTCCAGCCTTTAGTACTGTTAAACAAGTCTATAAGACTATAAGCAACACTGTAAGCCTTTAAGATGGTTCAATAACAGTTCTATAAGACTGTTGAGGAGGTCCATAAGGCTGTAAACAGCTCTACAGGTCTTTACTACAATTCTATATGACTGCTGAGCAGGCTGTAAATAGGTCTGTAAGACATTAACAAACTCTATTAAACATAGTCAATAACAGTTCTTTAAGAATGTAAACCACTGTGTCTTTAAGGCAGTACTATAACAGCTCTATTAGACTGTTAAGTGGGTCTACAAGACTGCAAACAACTCTGTAAACCTTTAAGACAGTTCTATAACAGCTCTATAAGACTGTTAAATGGGTTTTTAAGGCTGTAAACAATTCTGTAAGTCTTTAAGACAGTTCTATAACAGCTCTAGAAGACTGTTAAGTGGGTCTATAAGGCTGTAACCAACTCTGTAAGCCTTTAAGGCAGTGTATAACAGCTCTATAAGGCTGTAAACAATGTTGTAAGTCATTAAAGCAGTTCTATAACAGCTCTATTTAACTGTTAAGTGGGTCTATAAGGCTGTAACCAACTCTGTAAGCCTGCATGGCAGTTTTATAACATCTCTATAAGACTGTTACGTGAGTCTATAAGACTGCAAACAACACTGTTAACCTTTAAGGCAGTTTTATAACAGATCTGTTAGACTGTTAAATGGGTCTATAAGGCTGTAAACGATTCTGTAAGTCTTTAAGGCAGTGTATAACAGCTCTATAACACTGTTAAGTGGGTCTATAAGACTGCAAATAACTCTGAAAACCATTAAGGCAGTGTATAACAGCTCTATAAGGCTGTAAACAATTCTGTAAGTCATTAAGGCGGTGTATAACAGCTCTATTAAACTGTTAAGTGAGTCTATAAGGCTGTAACCAACTCTGTAAGCCTTTAAGGCAGTTCTATAACACCTCTATAGGACTGTTAAGTGAGTCTATAAGACTGCAAATAACTCTGTTAACCTTTAAGGCAGTTTTATAACATCTATTAGACTGTTAAGTGGGTCTATAAGGCTGCAAACAATTCTGTAAGTCTTTAGGGCAGTGTATAACAGCACTATAAGACTGTGAACAATTCTATAAGTCATTAAGGCAGTACTGTATTAAACTGGTAAGTGGGTCTGTAAAGCTGTAACCAACTCTAAGTCTTTAAGGCAGTGTACAACAGCTCTATAAGACTGTTAAGTGAGTCTATAAGGCTGTAACCAACTCTGTAAGCCTTTAAGGCAGTTCTATAACAGCTCTGGAAGACTGTTAACTGCATCTATAAGGCTGTAACCAACTCTGTAATCCTTTAAGGCAGTTCTATAACAGTTCCATTAAACTGTTCAGCACGTGCACGCTCACTCACCCCCTTAAGGCGGTCGTTAATGAGGGTCTGGAAGACCCCTGCCACCAGCAGCGCGATCCCAATGATGATGAGGTGGACGCTGATGATGGCGCTGGCGTACACGGCGCACGAGCTGCGAGACATGGTCCGAACTACGGTCTGCTCAACTCGTGCTACTTTTTCCCCTCAGGAGAAGAGGCACGCGGGAGTTTGGCACGACACGAGAGCCACGAGGACTTGGGAAAGTTTAGGCGCGAGCGCTGGGAGCCTGCAGTTGTTCGCTCTGAGCTGACGGGGTGAAATGAATGAGCGTGCAGCGCAGAGTCATGGCGTTATAGAGCCTCACGTGGGAGGGCTGGTTTTTTTCGCGCTGTCTGTGATATGCATGCTTCTGCAAGCTCAACCCCCCGCTGACCGCTACAGTCAGCCATGTGGGTGTGTTGAACGCTGGGAGTGAGAGCAGTGCAGTGTGGAGTTAAGCTGAGCAGCGCTGCTCCAGGCACTGCAGGTTTCATACAGTTCTATACTGTACGTATTTAAAGGGGAGGTCCACCGATTTTTCGAAATTTCTGCATAGTTCAGTGGTGAACTAAGTCCTCCCTGCTGAAAACCTTCGTAATGAGAATTGGCTGAATGGTCACCCCTAGTTTCCTGCATTACATTCTAAAAAGATGCTTCTTCAAGGGTTCTTTAGCAAATTAACCCTTTGCATGACTAAAGGATTCTTTGCATTGTGAAAGGGTTCTTCAAACTGATGGCGAACATGCTGTGGATGGTTTTATAAAGAACCTTTTTGATAAGGGTTCTATGTAGCACCCGGAAGGGTTTTTCTGTTGTTACAAGCTTGACATCATAACCCTTTTTGGTGATACATTGAACCATATACAGCACGTTCTCTATCAATCTGAAGAACCCTTTCACGATGCAAGGAACCCTTTAGTCATGCAAAGGGTTATTTGAGAGTTCATGGTTCTATGTAGAGCCATTTTCTTTACTAAAGAACCCTTGAAGAACCATCTCTTTTAAGAGTGTAGGACACCATTAGGTTCCACCGAGAAACCCTTAAATAGCTGCTGTTGAAACAAAACCTAGTATTTTAACCTAGTAATTTAAAAATAAAAAAATATTTATATTAAAAAAATTATATTGTGTGTAACTTTCATGATGAATGGACCAAAAGAAACGACCCAAAATCACTTGTAAAGACGTCTGGTTCCATTGACTTGCATTAAAAGTGAAGTATGTTTTTTCCTTCCCCTGTAAAGTTACCATTTTGGAGATATGAGGTTTTGTTCCTGCAGCAGCACCAGGTAAACCATTAGAACACTTTATACTGTGATACCATCAGTAAAACACAGAATACCATCAGTAACCACTGGACACCACCAGGAACTGGAGGAAACTTTTAATGGTTGTTTTTTTTGTTTTTTTTTTTAAGTTGGGATTCTGAGTGGTTTGGTGTGAAATGGTTCAGATGTCTTGGTTCACAGTGGTGGTGATAGGAACTAGGGGTCGCCATGACTACAACACAAATATTGACATTTTATTTACTACTGTCACGCATACCTCCGGGTCTGACTCTTTTCAGGACTCCAATTCCCAGAACCCCCTTGATGATCACATGAGTGTCACACCACCACTCACAGCCAATCATCGCTCCCCTTCCCCTGAATACTAACCTCATACACCTATCTTGTTTGTCATATGATGTAGGATAGATGGTATATTAAGGCCAGGCTTTAGTTTATACTTTGTGAGGTATTGCTTCATTCATTTGAGCTACTGAGCGTTTCTTCCTGTGTTTAGTTTGCCTTCCTGTGTATCAGACTCTGTTTTTGGATTATCAACTTTGCCGTTTTTGGACTGTGTTTGCCTGTTTTTGTTATGTGTGTCCCTCTGTGTTTTTAGCTTGTTTTGGATTTGACCTGTGCCTGTTTGCTGACTACGAGTGTGGATGCAGTTCTAACTAGTAAAACCTACTTCCCTCATTTTTTCTGTCTGGTCAGTGTCTGGTCAGTTCTGTCATGTTACAACTATCCAAAACCACCAGTGAACCTACATGTGTCTTCTGAGTTTTATATGGAATGTTGATGATGGGAAAAGAGTGGAAAATCTGTAATAATAAGTTTTTTATGGCCTAATTTGCCTTTTTCTATCCTTCCACCATGAATGGATTAAAATAACTTGATTAAAATACATTTTTTTATCAAAAACCTTACCACAAAACTATCATAAAACAGTGTCTCAGTCATCAGGCAGTGAATTCATAACCATTTCATGTAGGAACTTGCTGTGAGGGAGCTTTTAGAGGGGGACGTCTGGTTCCTATCACCACCACTGTGAACAGTTCTGACTCGGTAAGTTTATCTAGAACAGAGCGTTTCACACCAAACCACTCTGAAAGACTCTGTTTACATCTTAACCACTTAATTATGGAGTGATTTTGAAAAATAGGTGGAGTTCCCCTTGAAAGAAACCCACTGGCTCATTAGAAGTCATGAAGTGACTCCACAGTGAGTGGAAGAGCGAAAAAACTACAGTTATATAAAAGGTTTGGTCAACAGCGGCTCATGGAGAAGTAAAAGTAGCTGAGCGAAACCAACATCGAGCTAAAAGGCCTGCGATACAAAACATGAAGTTCCCCTACAGACCTACAATCTTAGGAACTGAAGTTTTTCATTTATTATTCTGTTCTTCTCTTTTTGGATCCTTTTGGTCTAAAACAGAGCTACAATCCAGAGTGAGCAGTGAAGCAGTTCAGCCGCTGAAGCAACACTGTAATTTAGAGATTACATTAAGATGTAAACTCAGTCATTCAGAGCGGTTTGATGTGAAATTCTTTGCTCTAGAGAAACTCAGTGGTGGTGATAGGAACCAGACGACTGAGGGGATTAATGCTGCCTCACAGAAAGGTATTATATGAAATGGGCGACGGTTTTGTGGCCTAAACTGCATCCATTCATGGCGGAGGGATACATGCAGGGCGCTGTGAGGCAAAATAGTCCCCAAAGAAAACTTATTATTTCAGATTTTCCACTATTTTCCATCATCAACATTCCATATAAACTCAGAAGACTCGCGTAGGTTCACTGGTGGTTCTGGATAGTAAATAAAATGTCTATATCTGTATTGTGGGTATTGATACTCTGTGAAAATGTGGTTATGATTTGATATCTTGTTTATGTGAAATACATTGTGTGTGAGAGTCTGACTGCAGACGTACATGGTTAATGTAAAGAACAGTGCAGATCACAGTCAGTACGTTTAGTTACATCTGGAACCTTCATTACACACAACTGAACACAGATAATAACTAATACTGATAAATGCATTTTAAAAATGTATTTAACAATTTTCATACATTGCAAAAACTGTATTGGATTTTTTTTTCATATGGGTGCGGATGATGCATGCACCCTTTCTTGTTTACTTTAGGATCTGTGCTGCTGCATTAAGAAGCTGTAAGCTCATTCTGGCTTAAACACTCCTTATAACTTCAGTGTGAATGGGTGGAGCTAAACTGCTGTAGGCCGAATAGGTGGTGATGTGTAGGTGTGTCGGCCTTTAGGGCATCACAAAAACAATTTAGGATTGCTTTTGCAGCTTAGTTTCCATATAGGGACTGTATGGATAGCATTTTTCTTAAAACTATGATTCCATACTACACCAGGGGTCAGCAACATGTGGCTCTGGAACCACAATCGGCTCTTTTACTGCCCTTTTGTGGCTCCACAGCTGAATCAGATTTGAAGGTAATAATAAAATAATCCTCCTTTACAGTAAAATAAAGCTCTGCTGATCGTTCAACACAGTTTAACAATAAATGGTCTTAAACTCTGGAGTTAATGTAGAACTGCTAATTTACCCTTTAACCCTGAAGTTTGGTATGCAGATTGCTGGTCACCATAGCAACACAGACAATCTCGCCTAGTTAGTAACTAACGAAAAGTCGAAGAGAAAGATTTAAGACAAACATTGATAATTTGGAGATGAATGGACTTATTTGTGTTTATAATCACTCCAGCTGGTTTCCTGATACGTTTAATCTGCAACAAGAAACTTTCAAACACAAAATTTTCCAGCGTCTTGTTCAAATTTTCCTGTTTCACCTTAAATGGTGCAGCAGTTACATTCTGGCACCTCAGGCACTATTTAAGGTGGAATGGGAAAATTTGAACAAGAAGCTGGCGAATGAGAAGCGACTTCAGCCTCATAAAAAATCAAACGTTGAGAGACATTTTACAAGAAACTGTTCTACTTTTGTGGAAAAGTTTCCTGCTGGAGATGTGAGAAAAGCAGCTATAGCTGAGCTAAAGCTTAAAGCAGAGCAGAGAAAGTCTGTGTTTTCTTTTATATTTTTAGTCTAAACTAGGACATTAACACATACTGAGACGCATTTACAGCCAAGATGGTAAAATGGACATAAAATCTTGTGACTCCCAAGGTGATTTTTGCTGACAGACAAAATGGCTCTGTTTAACATTTGGGTTGCAGCAGTTGAACATCAGTGATCTCAGCTGAAGCGTTATCATCATTAACCCTTTACAAACCCCTAAATCCCCCTCAGAATCCCACCATCTTTCAGAAAGCCAGTAGGCTCAGCATTTCATTAAGGGGCCCATATCACAGAGAACTATGTATTCCAGATTTTTTTGAAAGAAAAGTGTTTGATGTAGTACGTAAACATTAGGAACGTTACCGTTCACTCAACTAACCAATACAGTCCATATTTGGCAATGAAACTGCAAAAAAGCAGCTTTTTTTTTGTTTCTGTGATGTCACAAAAGCCAACTCATCCAAACATATTTTAGCCTATAGCAGGTTAGCCCCCCATCATGCTGAAGTTATAAGGAGCGTTTCATCCAGGACTGCTTTTTGAACGAGGCCAGCCAATCAGAACGGAGCTCATTTACATATCAGACTTAAAGGCATGTTCAGTCTGTTTCATTGTACACTCTTAAAAAAGATGGTTCTTCAAAGGGTTCTTTACTAAAGAAAATGCTTCTATATAGAATCATGAACACACAAAGAATGGATGGTTCTGTAGATCACCTAAAAGGATTCTTCTGTTGTTACTTCTACGAGTAGAAGAACCTTTTCCAAAAGGTTCTATATAGAATTATCTACAGCACATTCTCAATCAATCTGAAGAGCCATTTCATGATGCAGAGAACCCTTTTAATCAAGCAAAGGTTCTTTGAGTGTTCATGGTTCTATATTGAACCATTTTCTTTACTAAATAAGTCTTGAAGAACCATCTTTTTTAAGAGTGTATGTCAAGCCTGTAACAATAGAAGAACTCTTTTCCTTTTTCAAAAAGGTTCTATATAGAACCATCTACAGCACATTCTCCATCAATCTGAAGAACGCTTTCACCATGCAAAGAACCCGTTAATCATACATTCTTTAGTAAAGAAAATGGTTCTATATAGAACCATGAGCACTCAAAGAACCCTCTTTTTTAAGTGTGTGAGAGCAGAAAACAGTCATGTAGAAACAAATTATGGCTGTTTTTGGTACATAACACTACACCCGTCATAAGTGGAGCTCATAAAAGGTAAATAAGCTTCAACAAATTAAAGAATCCACACAAATAAGTTGTAATTGGTCAACGTTGCTCATGACTGACGCATGTTGTAAGAGTCCTAAGTAGCTGTAAAAGACTGATAGTTTTGCATATCACTTTTCTCTGGATAAAAGGGCCACGAAAAATGGGCAGGAGTTCAAAAACATCAACACTGACAGCAAAGCTCATATCAACTGATGCCGCGATGCAGGGAGGAACTAGTCAGACAGCTACAAGGTCGACACATTTCATTCTACAAAACATCCTGTGCTCAGTGGTCAATAGTCCATGTTTTTAAAAAGACTGCTTAAATCATTTTAATTAATGGCTAAAGGCAAATGTGACAACCTGCCCCATCTTCAATAACTACTGTCAAACCAATGTGTATGTCCGTTTATTTGATTTCCAGCTACTGTTCACAAGTTCAAAATTCATTTTTCAGCAGAAACATACATACCTCCTAAGCTGCTTATCCTCAGAGGTCGCTAGAGCCTATCCCAGCTGTCATTGGGCAGAAGGCAGGAAACACCCTGGACAGGTCACCAGTCCATCACAAGATAGACAAACAAACATACACACTCACAAACTGGGGCAATTTAGTACCTCCAATCAGCCTGACTGCATGTCTTTGGACTGTGGGAGGAAACTCACGCAGACACAGGGAGAACAGAAAACCACTACACAGAAAGTGGTTTTATCGAACCCAGACCCTTCTTGCTGTGAGGTAATAGCACTACCCACTGCAACAGGAAATTACACAACAGCTAAATCTAATATCAAATGTTTGAGTGTTCAGTGAGTCACTCTTTACCTTAAATACAGCCTCCATTCTGTTCAGGAGCCTCACTTTCAGTTCCTCAAAGAATCTGCAGACACACCTCCAAAGTTCAGTCTTAGAAGTTCGTTCAACACTTTCTGCTTCTTACAACTGAAGTAATCCTAATTATAAATTTACATCCATCGGTCTACAAAACCGGGCGGCACGGTGGCGCAGTGGGTAGCGCTGTCGCCTCACAGCAAGAATGACCTGGGTTCGATTCCCGGCCGGGTGACCAGGGTCATTTCTGTGTGGAGTTTGCATGTTCTCCCCGTGTCTGTGTGGGTTTCCTCCGGGTACTCCGGTTTCCTCCCACAGTCCAAAAACATGCAGTCAGGCCGATTGGACATGCTAGATTGCCCCTAGGTGTGTGTGAATGTGTATGTCTGTCTGTCTGCCCTGTGATGGACAGGTGACCTGTCCAGGGTGTATCCTGCCTTCCGCCCAATGACAGCTGGGATAGGCTCCAGCACCCCACCGCGACCCAGAAGGATAAGCGGTTTAGATGATGGATGGATGGATGGTCGGTCTACAAAACCGTCCACCACATCTCAGATGTCCAGTTTCAGGGGTGTAGCTAGAGTCTTTAGAATGGGGTGATGAAGTAAGACCCAGAGTTTTGATTGGGGTGGCACGCTGCTAAGAAAAAATAGCATTACTGTATTGAAACTATTGCCGAGACTAAACTGTGCCGATGTAACATAATTGGTCATTCACAAGAAAACGATGTTTCAATGAAATAATTTAAATGCATCACTTTGTACAGTGCACAATTTTATCTGTAAAGATAATTTAAATGATTATAGCTGACTAATTTTTGAAAGTTTGCACATCTTCCTACCAAATAGCCAACTTCAAAATGTAGCTCACAGAGCAGAGTTTCCTCAGCGAATTAACCAATCACAGCAAGATGTGCTAACTCTTAAATGCAGCGTCATCAGATTCTCATAAATGATTGGTTACTACCCTAATGGCAGATTTTCACCAAGTGTAATAGATGCTTTATTAATGTCTCACTTTCCACAACTGGGGTGGCCAGAGGGGCCATGCTTACTTCCAGGATGGGATTGACCACACAGGCCACCCCTTGGCTACAGTGTTGTCTTTTCACCTGTATTCTTTTCTCAGTGAGGGTCTTCTTGAACAGCTACACATCCTTTCAGACCCACAGCGCTGAGTCGTCTTCTCACAGTGGAAGGATGGACAGAAACACCTGTGGATGTTTTCAGATCTGATCAGCTTGATTTTCTCCTCTCTCTCAGAGATGAAAGCTTTAAGTGCTGTTTATCTGATGGGGGCAGTTTTGGGGTCGACCAGCTCTTCCAGGTGGTTGTTAGGGGTCACATCTTCTCTGTAGCTTTTAATCAGTTTTTGAACTCCAGTCTGAAACTCCTGTCTTTTCACTTATTTGGACTTTCACTTACTGTCTAATCTGCTGAGAAATATCTGCTGACAAATGAACGATTTCTACTTATTCATCAGAGCATGCATATATGTGAGGAGTCACAAAGAATTTGAAAGGAGTTTTTTTTGTGTGAGACCGAAGAACTGGGAAATAACATGAAACGGAGAAGCAACACGAGTCCACACTGAGAACAAAGGAACTGCACCTGACCTTCACACTGGACACCACGAGATGACCATAACAAAACACCACCCCGAACCTTCCTGCTGGACTGGGTGTGGATGCGCTTCTCAGACACAGAGACAGGGAGAGAGAGGGACAGAGAGAGAGAGAGAGAGAGAGAGAGAGAGACCAGAGGGACTCAAGTGTCCATGAACGATACTACAATACTACATCAGCGTCCTTCCTCAGTACTGGGCACGGATCTGTTTCTCTGAAAAAAAGAAACGGGAAAGGAGGGAAGACAGAGAGCCGGAGAAAGAAAGAGAGAATGAGACAGACAAAATAAATCAGCCTCAGATAAAAATAAACATGCCATGGTGCTGCCACCTATTGGCACTGACTGCATAATACATGCACCATTGTTTAGAACATTAGTTACTGCTCCAATACAATTCAAGCTCATATTCAATATATGAGTGCACAGTATAACTAATCGTGTTGAGGCTATATGAATATAAGAATATATGCAAATAGTTGTATTGTTTTCAATGGCAAAAAAATAACGCAAAAGTTAGACTAAGAGGAAACCCTTACAGTACAAAAAGTGAGCAAACATTAACCCTACACTACAAATAGTGAGCAAACATTATCCTTACAGTACGAAAATGTGCAAAACATAGCTTTACAGTACAAAAAGTGAGAAACATTTGCCTTACAGTACAAAAAGAGAGCAAAAGGTCAGTCTTGCAGTACAAAAAGTATGCAAATATTATCCTTACAGTGCAAAAAGTGAGCAAATGTAGCCTTGCAGTGCAAAAAGTGAGCTAATGTTAGCTCTACAGTGCAAAAAGTAAGTAAAAATTAATATTGCAGTACATAAAGTGAGCATAAATTGGCCTAACAGTACAAAACATGAGTAAAGCTTATCATTAGCCTGTAGTGAGAATATAGATTGTAAAAGTTTCCAATGTCCAAACACAATCTTAAAGTATTCAGTTGAGTTGATTTACAGTGCAAAACAGCAGAATCAATGTTTTCAATAATATTAAATCAAATTAGTTGTAGAATTTCATATGCAATTGTGTGAATATGCAAGTTTTCGAATAATTAGTATAAAAAAAATGTTAGATGCGTCCAGAACAATGAACAGAGCTGTAGATGATAATGTAGATGATAATATCCAGAATAAAGCAAATGAAGCTCTAATAAAATTAATATTCAAAATGAAATCCTAATAAAATCAATATCCAGAATGAAGTTCTAATAAAATTAATATCCAGAATGAAGTTCTAATAAAATTAATATCCAGAATGAAGTTCTAATAAAATTAATATTCAAAATGACTCATATAATTGCTAATTAAATCTGTAAACAGATCTAAACATCTAAAATGACCTGCTGGTGAGAAATTATTTGAAGTGATATGTGATATATCATATATATAAATGATTACAATTACAATTACAAATGTTTGAATGTAAATGCATTAACTAACACACACACAGTCAGCTGAGCTTGAACATTGTGTGGATTCCGCTGGCAGTGAATGCTTCATCAGCTACAGGGTGTACACTTACACTGCAGCTGTGTGTGTGTGTGTGTGTGTGTGTGTGTGTGTGTGTGTGTGTGTGTGTGTGTGTGTGTGTAGGGTTGGGATGTAATGGAATTGAAGTACTGGGAATACATATCAGAATACAGAAATTAAGTAACTGTATTCAGTCCAAGTTACATTCTGTAAAGGCAATATTTATAAATACTTTTTACATTTTTATGTGAATATGTTTAGAATACTCAACAACTAAATCAAAAACATACAGTTTTTAAAGGAAACACCATCAATGCTTGTTCATGAACTATTTTAGAATCAGCACATGGCATGTAGCAAACAAGCTCGTTAGACAAATTCTAAATTACCAGCCTCTTTACAAACACTGAGGTTCCTACTAAAGCCTGAGTAGACTGATAAATGAATGTGATCAGTTATTAATCTCAGTGTTACTGAGCTCTGCTAAAGCCTGAGTAGACTGATAAATCAATGTGATGATCGGTTATTAATCTCAGTGTTACTGAGCTCTGCTAAAGCCTGAGTAGACTGATAAATCAATGTGATCGGTTATTAATCTCAGCGTTACTGAGCTCTGCTAAAGCCTGAGTAGACTGATAAATCAATGTGATCGGTTATTAATCTCAGCGTTACTGAGCTCTGCTAAAGCCTGAGTAGACTGATAAATCAATGTGATGATCAGTTATTAATCTCAGTGTTACTGAGCTCTGCTAAAGCCTGAGTAGACTGATAAATCAATGTGATCAGTTATTAATCTCAGTGTTACTGAGCTCTGCTAAAGCCTGAGTAGACTGATAAATCAATGTGATGATCAGTTATTAATCTCAGTGTTACTGAGCTCTGCTAAAGCCTGAGTAGACTGATAAATCAATGTGATGATCAGTTATTAATCTCAGCGTTACTGAGCTCTGCTAAAGCCTGAGTAGACTGATAAATCAATGTGATGATCAGTTATTAATCTCAGTGTTACTGAGCTCTGCTAAAGCCTGAGTAGACTGATAAATCAATGTGATGATCAGTTATTAATCTCAGCGTTACTGAGCTCTGCTAAAGCCTGAGTAGACTGATAAATCAATGTGATGATCAGTTATTAATCTCAGTGTTACTGAGCTCTGCTAAAGCCTGACTAGACTGATAAATCAATGTGATGATCAGTTATTAATCTCAGTGTTACTGAGCTCTGCTAAAGCCTGAGTAGACTGATAAATCAATGTGATCAGTTATTAATCTCAGTGTTACTGAGCTCTGCTAAAGCCTGAGTAGACTGATAAATCAGTGTGATTGGTTATTAATCTCAGTGTTACTGAGCTCTGCTAAAGCCTGACTAGACTGATAAATCAATGTGATCAGTTATTAATCTCAGTGTTACTGAGCTCTGCTAAAGCCTGAGTAGACTGATAAATCAATGTGATCAGTTATTAATCTCAGTGTTACTGAGCAAAAATGGTATCCATGGGAGAGCTGCAAGGCGCAAATCTGGCGTAAAGCTAAAAGCACATTCCACCATAAGAACATCATGCCAACAGTAAAACATGGTGGTGGTAGTGTGGCCAGTCCATCACCTTTACCTTCAGCAAGGCAGCTGTCATCTTGGAGATGTGTTTGGGGTCATTATCATGTGGGAAAACTGCCATGCGGCGCAGTTTCTGAAGGGAGGGCATCATGCTCTGCTTCAGAATGTCACAGTACATGGTGGAATTCATGTTTCCCTCAGTGAACCGCAGCTCCCCAGTGCCAGCAGCACTCATGCAGCTCCAGACCATGATGCTACCACCACCATGCTTGGCCGTAGGCAAGAGACCACTGTCTTGGTACTCCTCACCAGGGCGCCGCCACACACGCTGGACACCATTTGAGCCAAACAAGCTTATCTTGGTCTCGTCAGACCACAGGACGTGGCTCCAGTAATCCATATTCTTGGACTGCTTGTCTTCAGCAAACTGTTTGCGGGCTTTCTTGTGCGTCAGCTTCAGAAGAGGCTTCCTTCTGGGACGACGGCCATGCAGACCGAGTTGATGCATTGTGCGGCATGTGGTCTGAGCACTGACAGGCTGACCTCCCTCTTCTTCAACCTCTGCAGCAATGCTGGCAGCACTCAGGCATCTTTTTTTTGAAGCCAACCTCTGGATGTGACACTGAACATGTGGACTCAACTTCTCTGGTCGACCCTGGCGAGGCCTGTTCTGAGTGGAACCTGTCCTGGAAAACCGCTGTATGACCTTGGCCACCGTGCTATAGCTCAGTTTCAGGGTGTTAGCAGTCTTCTTATAGCCTAGGCCATCTTTGTGGGGAGCAACAATTTTATTTCTCACATCCTCAGAGAGTTCTTTGCCATGAGGTGCCATGTTGAATATCCAGTGGCCAGTATGAGCGAATTGTACCCAAAACACCAAATTTAACAGCTCTGCTCCCCATTCACACCTGGAACCTTGTAACTCTAATGAGTCACATGACACCAGGGAGGGACAGGGACAAGGACACAGTTGGGCACAATTTGGACATGTTCACTGTGAGGTGTACTCACTTGTGTTGGCAGCTGTTTTGACATTAACGACTGTGTGTTGAGTTTTTCAGAGGACAGTAAATCTATACTGCTATACAAGCTGAACACTGACCACTTTAAGTTATATCCAAGGTTCATTTCTACAGTGTTGTTCCATGAAAAGATACAAAAAAATATTTGCAGAAATGTGAGGGGTCTACTCGCTTTTGTCAGATACTGTGTATATATATATATATATACATATATAGTGCACTACAAATATGCAAGAAATGTTTATTTAAGCCTCTGTAGATGATGTGTTAAATTATTTTCACTTCAAAAACCAACAAAACAGGTCATTTGACTGGGATGTTAAAACTTTTGCAAATAACTTTATACAAAACGTATATATCTCGAAGGTTTTCCAGTATAATGTATTTTTTTTATTTCTAATGTTATATTTTTTATTATCCATTTGTAGTATATTGTACAAATATGCAGTTAATATATAGTGTAAAACACTACATTGTAAATATGTGAGAGAATGTGTGCCGTTATCTGTGTGTGTGTCTGTGTGTGTTCATGACTTACATTCCTGAACAGCTCTGTTCTGGGAGTTTTCCTGGGGATCGCTGTGAGAGTCTGGAGCAGAGCGGATGGGGGCTGGAGGGGGGATATTTTCACACAGAGAGGAAAGTTACTGGGGTAAAGGAGAACACACACACTCCACGGCACAAACAGAACCAAACACACATTCACTCTTAGAACATTCAGCTAGGCTTATTTTAATCACTTCAAATAATCCTGTATCATGGAAAACTGAATATTTCTCACTTTTTCTTAAGGGTTTAACAAGAATGTAAACATTGTTAAAGTCCACCACCTTGTATCTCCACTCACTGTCCACTTTATCAGCTCCACTGGTATAGTCCACCATATAGTTTCACTCTGTAGTTCTACAGTTACAGACTGTAGTCCATGTGTTTCTCTGATACTTTGTTACTCTGTTCTTCAGTGCTCAGCACCCCCATGGACCCTCACAGAGCAGGTACTATTTGGGTGGTGGATCATTCTCAGCACTGCAGTAACACTGACGTGGTGGTGGTGTGTTAGTGTGTGTTATACTGGTACGAGTGGATCAGACACAGCAGTGCTGCTGGAGTTTTTAAACACTGTGTCCACTCACTGTCCACTCTATTAGACACTCCTACCTTGTCGGTCCACCTTGTAGATGTAAAGTCAGAGACGATAGCTCATCTGCTGCTGCACAGTTTGTGTTGGTCATCCTCTAGTCCTTCATCAGTGGTCACAGGACGCTGCCCACAGGACGCTGTTGGCTGGATATTTTTGGTTGGTGGACTATTCTCAGTCCAGCAGTGACACTGAGGTGTTTAAAAACTCCAGCAGCACTGCTGTGTCTGATCCACTCAGACCAGCACAACACACACTAACACACCACAACCACGTCAGTGTTACTGCAGCGCTGAGAATGACCACCACCCAAATAGTACCTGCTCTGTGAGGGTCCATGGGGGTCCTGACCACTGAAGAACAGGGTAAAAGGGGGCTAACAAAGTATCAGAGAAACAGATGGACTACAGTCTGTAACTGTAGAACTACAAAGTGCACCTATATAGTAAGTGGAGCTGATAAAATGGACAGTGAGCATAGAAACAAGGAGGTGGATTTATGAACAGGCCGCTCAGCGTATATCCACCAATTCAGCCTACTGAGGTTTAGCTCCACCCACTCATGCTAAAGTTATAAGGAGTGTTTCAGCTTGAAGTGCTTTGTGAATGACAATATACTGCACCCAATCAGAACAGAGGTCATTTACATACATCAGTTTTAAAGACACAGTAACAAAAACAGCCTGTTTAATTCTAAAGGATAAAGAGAGGTTGTACAAAATGATTTTTTGGTACTTAAGCATCACATTTACCTTTGATTTCTATATGTACAGACAGAATCTGACTAATACTGAGAGTGCTGATAGTTGAGTGTGTAAATAAAAAGATATCATATCTTAAGGCTGCAGTTTAGTACCTGAGAATCATATGCAAAATAAGACAGACGCCAACCTACAAAGCGCTGAGAAATTAATTTATGCTTTTATAACTTGCAGATTAAACTGTTGTAACGTGTTACAGGCTGGCTGCCCTGTTGTCTCTGTCATTAAAAACCACACGTAGAATTGCAAAAGAGCTGCCAGATATCAGTTATTGTACAACTGTCACTTACAGTTTTAAACTTTAATTTAAACTCTAATAGACTGTTGTTTTTATTTAGTTACAGCCAGTAACAACAAAAAGACAGAAGCGCTAATCTGCCCTGGAATCATGTTTAACATGTCTTTGATGTACTGTGATCATTTCTTGACTTTTATGACATAAAAGATGTTATAGTTCCTTTTTCTTATTAATTATCATATATTTATCATTACTGTGGTATTTTGCTAAAATATTTACAGCAACATGCAGATCAGACTAAGTACTTCAGTGACAACTGAAAGAAAAATATGGCTTTGGTAGGTGTTTCCAATAAAGTGGCCAGTTAGTGGAAGCACCAGGTGGGTGTTTCTAATAAAAGTGGCCAATTAGAAGAAGCACGAAGTAAAGAACAAACAAAGTTTTTCCAGTAAAGTGGCCAGTAAGTGGGAAGACAAGGTAGGTGTTTCTAACGAAGTGGCCAGTTAGTGGGAGCACAAACTAGGCGTTTCTAATAAAGCGGCCAGTTAGTGAAAGCATAAGGGAAGTGTTTCTAATAAAGTGTCCACTGAGTGAAAGCACAAGGTAGGTGTTTCTAATAAAGTGTCCAGTGAGTGAAAGCACAAGGTAGGTGTTTCTAATAAAGTGGCCAGTAAGTGGCCCCAAAAAGTTGGATTCAAGTTCAAGATTAAGCTGTATTTCTAATACAGGATCGATACACAATTTTTAAAATCAAAATCAATGTTTTTAATAACTTTGACTGTTTGAAAATCAAACATATGCTTTGAGATACAGTATGACATACATCATAGCTCGGTAGCCCTCCTATGTGCTAATAGTACCGTGAGCCTGTTATCAGTAGTGGCTGTACCAGCGTTACCCTCCTGCCAGGGATGGATTAATAAATCCTCGGCCTTGAACCTCAATTCAAAATAATAAAAAGTGCAGGTATTACATATCCATTATATGTATTGGAGTAGCCTTGTTGCATGCACTGAAAGCAGTCTCACCTCAGGTGACATAACCATTTTATTTGCTATCCAACAGCACCAGTGAAGCTACGTGTGTCTTCCAAGTTTTTATATGCAACGCTGAAATGGGTAAATAGTGATAAGTGATAAGTATATTAAAAAGTTTAAAAGCTTCAAAATATTGTAGTGTTCCCTGCTAGAAAAGAGAAGACCACTTATGCACAAGTCATTGTGCTTTATTAAACAGCTGTAGTCGGCCACAGCTGCACCATACATAAGAGAGTTTCGACTAACAGTTTGCTTCAGACTGATAGCGAATGTGCTGTATATGGTTCTATACAGAACCAAAAAGGGCTCTTCCACTGTTACCATGTCAAGCCTGTAACAATAGCAGCACCCTTTCTGATGTTATATAGAACCCTTTACAAACAGGTTCTACATAGAGTCATATATAACACATTCTCTATCAATCTGAGGAACCATTTCACCATGCAAAGAACCCTTTAATCATGCAAACGGTTTTTTGAGTCTTCAGTTCTATATAGAACCACTGTCTACTAAAGAACCCTTAAAGAACCATCTTTTTAAGTGGGCAGTTGTAATAGTTATGGCTCACTGCTGAAAAAGAAAATGAAAAACTGATCCAGTATCATCTTCATACTTAGGATTCAATGTATATGCAAATGATTTTTTTAATAATGTATTCTGTTTTATGTAGATGTGTAATGATATGTCCTATATGTGTTATGCATATATAAGCAGATTTGGGCTGAATACTTTGAGACAGTACTGATGGCTGAATACTGAATACACCTACATAGTAATACTAAACAAAAATGTACTAAATATATTCAGTAATTTATTCCATTACAATACATAAAAAGTACCATATTCAGAATACATTTAGAAAACGTCTTAATGAGGCACATGGGATTTTTTAAACTTAGTTCATGCTGTTTCTCGCTGTTACTGGTTGGCAGTTTTCTCCATGTAATTATTCTGTTATTAAATTTCATGAAAAATTTGCTTATCATGTAAACGAAGTTCTGAAATGCTCTCAGCATGTTTTTCGCCTGCTTCAGTCCACTGCTGCTCCCACAATCCTCTGACCAGGAGTCCAACACTGATACTCAGCTTATCACTCGCAAACACGTTCACTACTGAGGACATTATTAGCTTGACTGTCCCTAAAAAGAGCTCAGTAATGCTGAGAAAAATATATCTGCTCAGAAACTACAGTGTTTTTAAAAAAGGGGTTAACTGAGGTCCTCCTTCCAGTTTACGAGCATGTTTACTCCAGGCCATGTGCTGATTTTGAAAATAGCTGATAAGCAGGGACTGTTGGTGTTTCTTTAAATTTCAATAATTCTTTTAGCCCATAGGTTCCAATGAGTTACATTAAAAGTAAAGTATTTTTTTGCTTATATATATATATATTATATATATATATATATATATAAATAAATGTCAAAATAGTAACATGTCGCATATATAATATCTATACATTACACACTTAACATACATACATTTTTTAAGCATAACTCTAATCTTAACTGTGGGAACCAAAAAGAAAGGATTTTATTCTTTAAGTCTTAAAAATATGACATGAAAGAAACATGGAATTTTTGTAAAGCACTTCAGGCTAGAAGCATTTTTTTGGTCCATTAGTTCAGAACGGTATAATTCTGGGTCAAGAGCAGGCCAGAGGAGGAGCTGTCAGGAAACCTGATAAGATGTGATAAATTGCTAAGCTCAGCAGAATCTGAGGCTGAAGTAGTTCATGTCAAGCTGACCACAGCCTGCTTCTCCAAAACAACTGCAGTATAACGATTATCACGAGATGTTTACGAGCGCATGCCTGACTACACGCCTCAACTGAAAGTCTAGAATTCACTGCACCACAGATGTTTAGGTTCAGTCACAAAGAGTTTCAGTAGGAAGTGACTAAAGTGCGCTCATTTAGATCTAGGGGGTAGTCATCAGTGCACAGGGTTAGAAACTGTGGTGGAAAGCATTCACTGAATGAGCCTTTCATGCAAGGTTGTGCATTAGTATGACTTAGAAGGAAAAACAGAGGAACTTCTCTTCAGGGCGTGGTCAGCCTATGCCTGCAAGAACGGTCCATCCACAACCACATAGAGAGGGATACTCATCACAAAGACAACTGACCATATGAGAGTGCAGTGTTAAAAAAATTATGGGTCAATAGAGATGTGGAAAAACGTGAAACGGTCAGGTGAGTCATCGTTCACCATTTTCTCAACAAGTAGGTGAATGCGTGTGCAAGAGAACCGTCCAAGCCCCAACGCTAGGCCCCTACAGTGATGAGGGTACCCCATGAGGGTATTTTGTTGGTCACTTAGAGGGAAACTGATACAAAGTGATTCTGACTGACCACCTTCATCTTAAACACTTCTCTCCTGATGGGAGGGGTCTCTTTCAGGATCACAATGGCCCCATCCACAGTGAACGAGTGGTGGTCAAGTAAGTATGAAAATGACGTAAATGACATGATATGGCCTTTGCAGTCACCAGAGCTTAACCCAGTTGAAAACCAATGGGAGATTTTGGACTGATATCCACCATCATCTTTCAAAAGAATGGTGTTCCATCCCTCCAGTACAGTTCCAGAGACTTGTAGAATCTGTTCTGATGGCTCACATGACTCTTTGTGTTTGCTCTTGTTGCTTTAATTTTCTCTCATCTACATATACATATACATATATATATATATATATATATATATATATATATATATATATATATATATATATATATATATATACACACACACACACAAACATACATACATACACACACATTCTCACTAAATGCCAGAATTATTGGCACTCCTCAAGAAACTGGGCAAAAACAAATCATATAATGATTCAAATGTTCTTCAAAAATACATACTTCACATACTAGAGAGTTGTTTTATTTTAAGAATAGTACATTCTTTCAAAAACATGGGGAATAATTATTGGCGCCCCTAAAGAATATCTGAAATAAAACCAAAGGAATTTGCATCTTTGGGGAAAAATAACTTTTTCTTGCTCCTCGTCTCCAGCTCCTCGTCTCAAGTCCACTGTTGTCTATGATCCATCAACATGGGTAAAACTAAAGAGCCGTCAGCAGGCAGAAGGTTGTGGACTTGCACAGATCAGGAAATGGTTACAAAAAATGAGCAGTCAGTTGAAATTACCGTTAAACACAACCAAGGTGATAATATAAAAAAAGTTTGAAAAGCATGAAAATGACCCCAAACACACATCAAAATCCACACAGAAATGGTTGCAGGATGGTTGTGATTGTCCTCTCCAGATCTGAACCCAATTCAAAAACTTGTGGTGTGTATGAAAGAGGGCAGCCCACAAGCAAAGACCCAAGAATATCAGGGAACTGGAAATGTCCCTAATGGAGGAGTGATCCAAGATTCCACAAGTGTTCTAAATTTCCAAACATGTTAAGCATTACAGCAAGCGCCTCAGTGCTGTTATTCTCATCAGTGGAGGATTGGCCAAATATTAAAGGGAGTACTTTTGAAATCTATGTTTAAATAGACAGTGCTACTAAAGAAAACTATTCGTTCCAAAACACAGTGTAAAAACAAATAAAAACATGCACCTTGTCCATTTAAGCCCGAAATATTACTACCTTCATTTTATATATATTGAATTTAGCTCATTTCGTGAAGGCCGCCAATAATTCTGGAGCTGACTGCAAATATTTCTATTTCGAAGAAATGGGTGGTAGGAGGTTCTGTTTCATGGTTTCCCTTACCTGTTGGGCTCCTCAGCCTGTAAGCTTCGCAAGGTCATTCGTCAAGTCAATGACCTGCCAAAACCTGCAGGCAAAACAATTTTTTGTGAGCTTTTCCAGTTACCATTCCTCTTGGTTAAACATGGGAATGGACTGTGATCCACAAGTGCACCAGTGTTACTGTACGGAGAACTCTTCTTCTCTCAAAGATCTCGTATCTGCATAAAAGTCTAAAGGCGATTTGCAAGTTCAGTGAGTTCGTTTCGAAAAGTAATTGACCTCTGGGTTGATTTACGACTTAATGTGGGTTCCAAGCTTGCCAGTTTCTATTTGACAGCTTCTCTTTTTTAGCAATACAAATTTACATTTTGTATTGCAAATCTGTAAGGAAATAAAATAATAAAACAAAAGAGAACTTTCTTGCACATCTCATTTACAGAAATGCCAAAGAACTGTCCATTGAAAGGTTCCTCAGGGAACCAGCGTTGTTCTCCTGTGGCATCACTCCAAAGAAGCCATCTTGGCACCTTTATTTTTAAGAACGAAGTAAGACAAGCAGCCCTAACAGCCAACCAATCACACTTTGAACCACTAGGCCAAGCCTGCTGTGATAGGCAACTGATGCGTAATAGGCAGTTTGTACCTGGAGTACGACCAATATCTTGAACAATGACTTTTCTCATGCATATCCTCCCACAGGAAGATTCCAACAGAGTGATGCAGTGAAGTAAAACTTTCAGCCGCCTTCTCTTTAACCCAGACCAAGGGTCAGTACCCCTTCCCCAAACCTTTACCAACCACCTCTTCAAGAAAAGGAAACCGGTCCCCAGCTCAGCCCAGTTGGCTAAGGCCAGATAGAGATAATCAGAGTGGTTCTGGCTTGTGTTACAAGAGTGAGAGAACCACACTTACAGAGCTTATGTAACATGGCAGACTCACAATCCAGCCAACTGCAGAACAACCATGGTTTGTGTTTGCAACTGTATTGTGTAACCGACCTTGTTCTGGAGGTGGGGGGTGTCCATTCTTGGGATGTTTGGATTGGGAGACCTGAGCACTGGCCCCTGAGCTAAAGAAACAAACCCCCAAGCTAACACGTACAGCAACAGTCTGCCCAAAAATCAATGTGGTTGATCAGCCAAAACATGGTTTGATGTTTGAAGTTTGCTTCATCAGTTTAGCACTGGAGCTAACAAGTAATTGAAGCTTATACCACATCAATTAGCACTGTGCAAACTACATACCTGAAAAACTACATAACTACATACTACAAACTACATACCAAGCACCATGTTCAAGCCTGAAATTTGTCTGGTCCAGTTTTTGATGTTCTCCTACAAAATTACCAAACTGGCAGAGTTTTGTTGTCACCTGGATAAACACCAAACTGGTCGAGTTTTGGTGTTCTCCTGAGAAATGAGCAAACTGGCCCAGTTATAGTGTTCTCCTAGGAAATTACCAACATGGTGTAGTTTGAGTGTTCTGATAATGGCCAAACTTGTTCAGTTTTGGTGTTCTCTGATAACTGACCTAACTGGTCCCATTTTGGTGTTCTCCTGAGAAATGTCCAACCTGGTCCAGTTATGGTGCTCTCCTATGAAATTACCAAATTGGTCTAGTTTGAGAGTTCTCCTGAGAAATGGCCCAACTCATTTAGTTTTGGTGTTCTCATAAGAACTGACCAAACTGCTTCAGTTTCAGTGTTCTCCTGAGAAATTACCAAACTGGTCCAGTTTTGACGTTCTGTGAAATTACCAAACTGGTCCAGTTTGGATGTCTTCCTGGGAAATTACCAAACAGGTCTGGATTTGGTGGTCCCCCTGGAAATTACCAAAATGGTCCAGTTTTAGTGTCACCTGTGAAATGATGAAACTAGTCTTCTTTGTGTGTTCTCACGAGAAATGGCCAAACTAGTTCAAATTTTAGTGTTCTCCTAAGAAATTAACAAACTGGCCCAGTCACAATGTTCTTTTGAGAAATGACCAAATGGTTCAAATTGTGATGTTCTCCTAGGAAATGAACAAAGTGGCCCATTTTGGTTGTTGTATTGAGGAATGATCAAAGTGTTCCAGTTTTGGGTTCTCCTGAGAAATTACCAAACAGATCCAGTTTCAGTATCACCTGGGAAATGGCAAATCTGGTCTAGTTTAAGTGTTCCCCTGAGAAATTACCAAATTGGTCCAGTTTTGATGTCACCTGGGAAATGATCAATCCGGCCCAGTTTTGATGTTGTCTTGAGAAAATACTAAACTGTGCCAATGTTTGGTCCGGGTAAGGTGTACTCTTCAAAAATAGTCAAAATGTTCCAGTCATGATGTTCTCCTGGGAAATGACCAAAATGGTCTAGTTTTGGCATCACCTGGGAAAATAGCTAATTTGTCCAGTTTTGATTTTCAGAGAAATGACCAAACTGGTCAGCTTATGTTGTTCTCCTGGAAAGCAACCAAACCAGACTAGTTTGGATGTTGTCCTGAGAAACCAAGCTGGTTCTGTTTTTGTTGTCACCTAGGAAATGATACTGGCCCAGTTTTGGTGTTGTCTTAAAAACAGACCAAAAAGTGGTCCAATTAAGTTTTTTTCCAGGGAAATAACAAAACTAACCCAGTATTATTGTATTTTTTTGGGAAATGACCAAACTGGTCCAGTCTTTGCTGTCACCCAGGAAATGACCATACCAATCCAATTTTAGGTGTCACCTAGGAAAAGATAAAACCAGTCTAGTTTGGGAATTCTCCTGAGAAAAGTTCAAACAGGTCCAGTTTTGGTGGTCTCTTGAAAAATGACCAAAGTGGTAAATGTTTTGATGTTCTAGTTGAAAATGGGCAAACAGGTTCAGCTTTGGTGTTCTCTTGGGAAATGACCAAACTGGTCCAGTTTTAGTCCCACTTGAGAAATGACACTAACACTAATGAATTAAATCAGTTCTGCTAGAGCAGGGAAACAACTTAACTAGGAACTCCATGTTAAGATAATCAAAAGGTTAACAGTCCCCATTATTGGTGTCCAGAGCTGCTTGGTATCTAGAAAGGATAAAATTCTTCTTAGTCATGCAACATGGTTCTTGTTATCTTGACGTCATTATTACTCAGACCAGACACCTTCTCCTTCCTGACCAAAGCAGGACATGACCAAATATCAAAGGTGCGCCCAACTATACAACTGGAACTATAGGCAAAGTTGTCCTTTGTCTATAGGCCTGCAGAACTATGTATGAATGAGGATTCACTGGGATTAAAGGTTCTCAAGTGTACCACGTTTCATGATCGCCTTCTAACATGCTTGCTCGAAGAAAGGTTAGTGACCAGGTGGACATATCTCTATAGGGATAAAAATAAGTGTCATAATGTTGGCATGTTGTTGACGGGAAATTTTCACACTTTGTCTTAGCTGGGGAACTTTGGTCAGCAGAGAGTGATAAACAGCCTAGGGTAGATGTGGCTCTCTCACTCTAGAACACTCCAGTATGGTATAATTTCAGGTATTGTTTGGCATGGTGATGACATACTGAACAATGATATAATTGAGAAACCCTTTCAAATTGCTGAAAGTATAAAAAAAACAAAAAAAAAAACAACAAAAGTCAAAGGTTGAGTTACTCAAGATATTTGTAACATACATACATGCATGCATACATACATACATACATAGCCATTCTGTTTTCAATAATATTAAACCAATTTGGTTAGATGAAGAAATTCACTTCTAACAAAGATAATATCCTGAAAGTTATCAAATCTCAAGGCAAATAACTTGCCCAATTTATTCAAAAATGATAATAAGTAAAAAGATAATTAGCTATTTCACTACTTTGATGCATTTCACCATTTCAGACCAGGAGGCTGAGTCTACTGGACAATAATAACAGGCATTTGACTTTTTGGTCATTTAGATTTTCAAACCTTCTGAAATTTAAACATTCTGTTGCAACTCTGGTGGCTCTGACCTCATCAACAAAACTTGGCACTTTCACCCTCTTTCCCAAACACACATACAGAATTCTGTTTTCCTTCCATGCCTGGCATCTCAGATTTGAGTAAAGGTCTTTGTGGAGACGTGGACTCGTCCTAATTTCGTCAGGTAACGTGTCCCTCTTCGCGCCGTCGCGGGTGACCGTTGCCCTCTGAGACTCTTATCAGCAGATGAGCAGCACCAATATAAGGGCTGTCCGTGCTATGTGCTTTCTCACTGCCAACCGAGCTCAAAGCGTGACTGAGGAAACAGCAATACAAAGCAACCAGCATGAGAACGTCGGATCACACACTCTTCGTGATCACCATGCTCTTCTCGCTGCTCTGTGCCATCCAGGTAGGATGCCAAGCCAGACGATGCAATCTACCTACTTTTCTGGTAGTGGTAGAGTCCCTCAGAGTGGAGGGAACTATAAATCTCTTGTATGTAAGATTCTCAACACAACAGATGCAAGTAGAGGGGGTGTATATTAGCAACCTGGAGAGCAAATCTGCTGAAGATGAAGGAAAGAAAAACCTTGATCTGCTCTAGGAGACGCCACCTGAGGACTTTTATTAATCACTCTTAAAACTGAATGGTTCTTGGCTTTAATTGGTGTAAAATCATTGTGTCGTAACTTCTAACAAGGTTCTTCACACCATCCACTTTTGGGTAGTGATGCAGGCAGTCCACATTTTTTCCTCTATCCATATTTGCTGGCGCAAAAATGTGGACCATTTCGGAACCACTGCTTTACAGAATGGATGTATGGCATCCTTCCATAGGACCATTTTGGCACCTTTATCTTTCAGAGCGTAAGCTCGCACCTGCCAAGTCTGGTGTAATTTAATAGCATGTGGGAAGAGATATGGACTACAGTGTGGACACAGATCAGTTATTACTATGAACTTACACGTCATGCTTGTCTGACGGTACCAAATGGTATATTGGGCAGTTTCAGGAATGGCACAGCATGTAGTATTATTATTGCTTTTAGGCGGTGAACGACTTCACTTAACTCTGCTCTGGTGGTTTTGGCACTAAGTACTTTTCCCTGTAACAGTTATCAGTTCAACTAAGGCACTACTGGTTCTCCCAGTGCGAGTATATGTTGAGCTGCTAGCGAGCAATAAGGAGTGAAAAGAGAAGGGTGAGGACAATTCACCCCTCTCTACAAAGATGGTCAAAACAGCAGCTTTTGAAGCTTCCTGGTTTTGTAAATCACATACATTCAATCGAAACATATTCTATCAACGTTATTGTAGGTAAAAAACCTACCAAAACCGCCATCAAAACAGCGTTCAATAGCTACTGTGAAAAAAGGGTTCGGAGTAGACCAGGAGTTACATCTCTAGTCAACACTTATGTTCAAGTGTGCAACTGTAGATTAGGATGACTTTGCCTTTCAGAGCAGCCCCACTGATTAAACATGTTATTTGTCTACTGTAACAAGACATAAAAGTGCTGACTTGGTTGCCGGCATAAGATAAGACTAATCATAAAACATACTTACCTTAGGTGCCCAGTGTCTTGTGATTGGTTTACTCATTTGCTTATCGGTCTAATGGCCCACGCTTTCTTTTTCTGCAGGTAGAGGCAGCTCCAGTAGCAGGTACCTGGGCTTCGAGCCTGATCCACCGTGCTAAGCGTTCATTATTGTGGCGCTGGAACACTCTGAAACCTGTCGGCGCCAGCTGCAGAGACAATTACGAGTGTGGCACCAACTACTGCAGGTAACGATCACACATCTACAGACGAACTTATGAAACAGGGCAAGGACTCAAATTCTTTGTACCTCAAAGGAAGATGAAGTGTCTTCCCTTGGGACAGTCAAGATTGTCCCAATTATGGACATTTAGGATCTAGAACAGTCGTCACCAAACCTATTGCAGTCTTGCCTTCCTGCAGACTTTAGCTCCATATCCAATCGACCCCACAAATCTATCCGTAATTTTTGCCTTCAGACGTCCGTGATTACCTAAATGAAGTGTGATTCGGACTGGAGGTAAAAGCTGCAGAAAGGCAGATCTCCAGGGGGACTGGTGACCACTGAGCTAGATCATGTTTACCTAAATGCAGCCAAAAAACGGAGTACCTGAACAACAATGGCCAAGTATAGTTTTAGCATAAAACGATGATCTAGGATCAGGTTGTCCCTTTATTTCCTCCATGTTCTTGGTAGTTTGGACACAAAGTGAATGTCCACCAATTAACACCAACACTTGAATGTTTCAGTACTATGCACAGGTTCAGATTACCAGTGCAGCACTGTGGCCTGCAAAAAAGACCTTTCTTTCCTTCTGTAAATGTTACCATCTACTCAAATAACATGTTTACTCAGTAAAGCTGCCCTGCAAGACCAAGTGATCCTCTAGTTGAACGTTGACCCAAATATAACTGGCTTCTGATAAGCATATCAGGCTATTTAAGACAGTTAATGATTCAGCAATCAGAAGAGATTAAGTGTTGACTCTTAGGAGAATTTCAGGGCTTATCAGCACACTTTGATTCCGCTAAGACGGTTGTGTTAGAATCCCCTGTAATAGTGCTTCTTGGTTTCAAGAATACCAAAAACCCAACTGCCCACTTACTATTCAGCATATGCTCATTACTGGGAAATAATACTTTTAGAGAAGATTTGCTGTGTGTCTAAATCTACCAAGAACATGGAGTAAAATCTGGAAAGATGTGGGAAAAACTCATCCCAAGTCTTCATATCAAAGGTATAGAACTGCGTCTCAGAGTGGGAGTGCTGATCTAGGATATGTTCCTACATCAAAAAAAGTGACGCCATAGAACAGGGCTGCACAACCCTGGTTCTGGAGAACTAACACCTTGCACAGTTTAGCTCCAAGCCTAATCCAGCATACCTGACCCAGGCGATGAAGGTCTTCAGGAGCATCTGAATATTAGAGCCAAGTGTGGTGGATCTCCAGGACCAGAACTGGGCACCTCTGTCATAGAAAAACCACTGACCATGTTTAAGAAAGGGACTTGTGCAGGTAAAGAATCTTTTAATGGTTAATCCTGAACTTGAACTTGAAAAGGTTCTTCACCTCTCATTTACAAGAGGACCATTAACTGAAGGGTTTTTTAAGGGACAAGTGTTTTCTCTATGGCTCTGAGAAAAGAAAATATTTTGGCTCCTTCATTTTTAAGAGTGATACTGTAAGGCCATCACAAATAAAAGAAATCTGATCCTAGATAAGCACTCATGCCTACAAAAACAAGGACAAGGTGTCACTGATGCAAAGCACCACACTTATTAAGCACTACAGTGCTAACAGCACCTCCTTGTGGGTAATCTTTCACCTGCTAAATGTGAGTGAGTGAGTTACAAGCCAGGTCCATGAGGTGCTTTACATCTTAAACATTAACCGTAACTGCTGCATATTTACCCATCTCTGTTTCTGCTCTTTCTTCTAGAAGAAACATCTGCGCTTTCCAGCCAAACTCTTCTTCATCATGAGGACGCCTTACACTCCTTCTCCAAATTACTGGAAAAAAATTCTTCCCCATGAACATGAACAACATCAGCTCTTATGGAATCAGAAAGCTCAATACAATCAAGACACAGTATCAACAGCAAAACATTTCATCTTGCTACCATTTAAATGACCATAATTGCTAACTACAAGATATCACTTGTGACTTACTTCGTACAGAATCCGAACAGTCAAAACATGTCTGATCTGATCAAATACAAATGTAACCAATGCCAAAAGAACTCCAAGCCCATTCACTTTATTGACAGAATTATTTATTTGTAAATAGTGGACACATTAGAAAAGACTGTAGAATTTACAGAATTGTAAATACTGTTTGTTCATGTATTTTTAATGTTTTTTTTTTTAAATATTGTTACAGTGATAGTGCAATATTTGTGTTTTTTTAAGAAAGAAGACAATTCAGATGCTTAAGTTTACATGATGCAATAAATGGACAAAAAAAACAACATCTTGCAAAGAAATACATGCGAATAGCAGGTGTGAACTGAATGGAGTCAAAACTATCTGTTGTTGAGAATTTCCAGATAAACAACATAATGGACAATTGATGTGTTTACCAGTGTCCACCCAGAATAATCAACTGCATTACATGATTTGGTTGAAAAGTCACCACAGCTACAAAACAGGGCTGGGTATCGGGATTCAGTGCTTTTATGGTGTCGACTGACTTCAGTACAACTGAGTATGTTGTTCAATATTACATTTAAAAACTGAAGTAGTCAATATCATCAGTGTCATTGAGCCAATAAGCAGGCTTGTTCCAAAATTTAGATTGCTGATTGGCTAAATAACACTCCACTTGCATATACATGTTATAAAGGAAGCATGTCGATTAGGCCTACTTGTTCCATTATAGTCAGTAAATATACCCTCTTATTTAAGGCACCTCATACTCAATTCTAGGGTTGAGCGGTATCCATTTGTTTTATACTTTCAAACCTTCAAACAATGCACAGCTTTCAAGCCATCATTCAATAAATGTCAAACCATCTGTCTAACAATTGCTAAATGTTAAACAGTGCTGCTAACTAGGTGGAGCAGGTTAGCTTTAGCTTAGCTAGCATGATAACAGCTCTGTTCACCACAGAACATGTTCGAGTCTGGCTAACTAAAGTTTAACCTCTTATTCTCGTGGGTATATTTTGGTTTTTCCATCTGAATTTACATGATCAAATCAAAGTGTTGGTGTTGTTTGTAAAATCTCTCCTCAAATTAACAGAAAATGTGTTTTATGATCATGAACATAATGCCATATGCTTACAATTTACTGCTGAAAGCCAAAAATCTTAGACGCTCTTTGTATTATTTTATAAAACTTATTTTTACAGAGCAGATCACTGAAGAGACGCCATCTGAGATCCAGTTTATAGCTCAGATTTGTGGAAAAATGGGTCAAATTCCAGTAGAAAAAAAATTGTGAGTTCAGCTTCTTTTATCTATTTGACTGGAAAGAATACAGTTACAGCTCTCATACGACCCCCACCTTTAGAATGTAGCTTAGGAAATATGAAAGTTATGAAGTAAAGAATATGAATAAGTGTGTTTTGGAACCAGCGGTGGTTCCAAGGAGTTAAAGAGGTAACAGAAATTCAGATGATGATGACTCAAATTTGAGGGAGTGACGTTGAGTTGCTGGAGCTGAAGGGACAGAAATTAAACCAGTTCTGTGCTGTTTGGATCTGTAGCCTGATCGGCTGACTTAACGTTAGCTTAGCGAGCAGCTACAGACCCAAAACAGAGCCACTCACCACAGTACAGGTCTGATTCTGACTGACTGCTGCCCTGCTGACACAAGTGTAGAGTGAAAGTGGAGTAACTGACAGAAAGCTGAAATGTTCTGTGGTGTTTGGAACTGTAGCATTTCGGTTAAGCTAATGAGAGTCTAGTTAGCAGGCTAAATTGCCACACAACACAGCACAGGCTTGGATGAAGCCAACGGATGCTAAAACGACGCCTGTTTAGAGGATATCTAGAGCGCAAAATCGAGTGACCGGTGTTAGAGTGACAGAAAGCCCAAATGGAACCTGTTCTGTTGTGTTTGGGACTGTAGCGTTTCGGCTAAGCTAACGTGAGCTTAGTTAGCAGGCGGATGTGCTCTGTGGTGAGTGTAGCTGTCACTGAGCTGCTATCATGCTTAGAGTTTTTCTGAGGATTTTCCAGGCTCTGAATTTTCCCCTTTTCTCTATCAGGTTCACCTATCGGTGAACACTAATCAATGACCCTTCTAAATTATAAAGTGTTTATCTGGACATACAGATGTGAAATAGACATGTCATAATTTTAAATAGCCATCAATTTTAGCTACGGCTGTACTTCTTAAAGCGGAACTTCACTGATTTTTTAAATATTCTAAATAATTAAATGGTTGAGATATAAACAAAGTCATTCAGAGTGGTTCGATGTGAAATGCTTCGTTCTACAGAAATTTTAACAAGTTAGAATTGTTCACAGTAGTGGTGACAGGAACCAGATGTCCACCTCTAAAAGCTCCCTCCATGAAATGGTTATGAATTTACTGAATGATGTGTGAGACACTGTTTTATGGTAGTTTTGTGATAAAGTTTTGGCTTAAAGTGTCTTTTAATCCATTTATTTTAATCCATTCATGGTGGAGGGATACATGCAGGGCGCTGTGAGGCAAAATAGTCCCCAAAGTAAACTTATTATTTCAGATTTTCCACTATTTTCCATCATCAACATTCCATATAAACTCAGAAGACTCGTGTAGGTTCACTGGTGGTTTTGGATAGTAAATAAAATGTCTATAGTGTTGTAGTCATGGCGACCCCTGGTTCCTATCAGCACCACTCTAAAGACATCTGACCCATTTCACTCCAAACCACTGAACAACAAAATTTTAAAACAGAATTTTAAAAAATTGGTGGAATTCACCATTAAAAGAAGGTACCAACAACAGTATAGCTCAAGCATTCAGTATGGAAACTTTTTGAACGATACCCAGCCCTTGTAGACAATTCCAAACAAATTTCATGATCCAGCTGATGTGAACACTGTCACTAAAGTGCACCTTAAAGCAGATCCAAAAAAATAGTGTTAGCAAACTCATAGAACTCAAGACAAGTCAGGACCGTACAGATTTCCCTTTTCAAATTTCACACCAAAAAATAAAATGCTGAACCTTATTCGCCAGAAAAATAAACACACTTAAATTTTAACCACGTTCAATGAACGGATAAGGCCTTTACAATATTGACCTTCACTTATTAAACATTCAATGATCAGATGTTAAAGATCAGACACTGTTTTGAGATTTTTAGCACATTCACAAGAACTGGGATTAACACTGAAACCCAAAGGCTGTTCGCACTTCCACAATAACGTGGTTTTAACACATTAACATATGCGTATAATGTATTAATGTAATAACAGAAAAGTGAAATGTGAAGCTAAGCGTATTATTCATGTCTGGAATTGTTAAAAATGACCACATTCACTACCTTTACAGGATGTATAGCTCTATAAAGGTATGAATACTCCTCATCTGCTCTCCATTCATAAATTAGCATGTCAGTTATTTAACCACTTACAAAAGCTACAAGAGAATATTTGACATAACACTGAAACGACGGCAAAAAGCAAACATTTTCCAATTTAAAAGCATCAATGCTGAACGAACATTGGCTAAAATGTGCTTTGAGTCCAGTTCACAAATGGACGCTGAGCTAATTCAACGGTTTTACTGTGTGGAGCGGCAACTGAAATCATAGAACTGATTAATATGAGTAAGAATACACAATTTGGTAAAATAGCATTAAAAATTCGCAAATGCGCTGATACAATTAAAACCATTTTGCATTAGCAGCAACAGTGCAGTCTTTCAGTATTAGTACATGTACACAATGAGTTATGATTAATGCAAAATGTACATTTCTAGCACAAACATGGAGCACTGGTCACTGCGCTAGTTAAGATAATAACTGTTAGGGGTGGGAAAAATAATCGATTCTTAGACACATCGCAATTCTCTCTTGAAAGATTTCACATCGGCTTATGTGTAAAGGTTTTTGCCAATAGTTCCAAATATTTCTAACACTATAGCCTATATTACTAAACCATATTTAGTCTATATTGCATAAAATGTAGCTAAATTTTGGTCTCGGTCTGTTTCGGTCGTGTTTAGGCTGCATGCAAATTCAATTTAGGCTAAAGAAGATTGACAGACACAGGAAAACAATCATAATGTGGGCTTAGAATTCCTAATCAAGACACATGAAAAATACATGCGCCCCGGATCGAATCTGAGTTGCCTGGAGATTCCCACCCCCATTGAGCACTACAATAAAGGAAGACCAAAAATATCCAAAAATAATGAAAAGAAAACAAATAATATCAAATCATTCCAAACCATCCCAGAGAACATAGTGTAAAATATGAAAAATGTGTGTATGACACTAAAATTAAGAGTTGTATTAAAAATTCAGCAGCATTTGAATGGAGAAAGAAACATGGCTTAGCAGAACTGGTAACTGTCTGGCCGTGGCCTAATACGTAGATGAGCACCTGTAATCGACAGCGCTCTGTCCAACACTTGCACTGAACTGGAGTGGGATGTTGAATGACCGAATGGACAACAGGCAGGCAGAAAAGCAAGCTTGAATGTTATGCTTGTTAGGTTAGCTTCCGCTAGGTTGTTAGCTTTCGCTCTAAAGGCCGTCGCACACTGGATGCGCTGCATTGCGCAGCTAAAGAATGCCAGCAGGGAGGGCCCAAAAACGTCAGATTCAAGTTAATTTTTACACTCCACTTGTAGAAACTGAATGAAATAAAGTGTTCAGCATCACTTACGAGGCTTGGCATCAGTTTACTACCTGAAAAATACCAGCTAAAATGGACTAGGCTAGTATTGTTAGCTGAGGTAACTTACTGTGAGCATCTGCACTGCAAAATATAACATCTTGTCAAGTGAAATGATCTAAAATCTAGTCAATATATCTAATAATTCTTATTTTGAGATGATTGTGCACCTATAATAAGATAATCTATCTTATTTCTAGACATTATTTACTTGTTTTAGGTAATTTTATCAAGTAAAATTCTCACTATACTGGCAGATAAACTTGCTTTTGGTTTCAGCCACATTTTTAAAAAAGTTCTATAAAAATTCACTATAATGAGATAAATTCAATAGATTCAAACACTCAAAACAAGTAAAAATGTTCAGGAATACCTGAAATAGTCTTAATGTAAGCTTATAACAATCTCAACAGGAGAAATATTAGATTTATTAACTAGATTTAAGATAGTTATGCCTGACAAGATACTATTCTTTGCACTGTGTCTGTTTATCTAAAAGACTGTGTACCTTACTCTGTGTAAATTTCAAGCCACGTGTTATCTACCATGGCTTTCTGTGGTCTTCATGTGGCTTTAATTCTCCACACAGAAAGGACCCTGGTTGCCCGGCCAGGGAATCAAACCTTCTTTCTGTGTTTAAAAACGACGGTTTAAAAATTTTGGATGCTGTCCTGTTGTGTCTGGTATGTGACAGCCTTAAGTTTCTATTAGACTGCTGGGGAACCTAGCAGTCTTGTGAGTGCTTACATACGTGTGACCACCCACTTTATATCAAAAAGAGAGAATTTAGGCGAAATAGATCAGCCATTTAGGGAGCATCGCAAAGTGATTCACAGGACATATTTTGTACATGTATATCTAGTGTCATCAAGATTACATAAAAAGAAAACATGAATTTAGGTTCTCTGGGGCTTTAAGCACAAACAATACTTAATATTTTTACAACAAACAAAAATGTAAAAAAATAAAATGTGGTTTCTGATAAAAAAAAAAAAACAAAAAAACAAAAACACCTAACATGACTGGCAGAGCACCACTGAACTGCCATTGAGAAACTAAGAGAAAAGTGTTGAATGAAATCCAGTCATGTGCTTTTGTCAGCCTTTTTCCAGAGTTCAAGGTGAACCAATCAGACTCTGCTTGGCTCGATGTTGAAATCATACCATACGCAGACGTCCTTGTAGAAGCACAAACGTGCATATCAGTTCAGAAGCTGAGGATTATGCAGACACTGTGATGGTCCGTTTCTAAATTTAGGATACTGTGGACACTATGACGGTCAGTTACTTAGTTTAGGATTTTGTGGACACTGTGTGTTGGCCGGTTTCTAAATTTAGCATTGTGTGTTGAACCTGCGACTAAAACAAACAGACAGACTGGTGTAACTGCGTGTGTTGTGCAAGCCCATTTTATTGCCCTAATCCCAGGCGCGATGCAAAATTACAATTTCATCTGACGTGTCAATAAAATATAACCACTCTTTCTTCAGATGCTGATGTTTGTCTCTCTTATTGATGCAACAAACTTGTTTACCATCCCAGCGTGTTGGGAAAAGGTCTAGGTCTGTCCATTTTAGGCTGTAGTGGTGGAAAATAATTTTATATCTTTAGAAGCTGCAGGTCTGCATGCAAGATTAGCCAATTACAATACTCCCATTCGCTGTGGTGCTCATTATTACACTAAAATGTCAAATAAAAACAAAAATAAACTCAAACAGTTCTTACAGTAAAAGGGCAACCTCTTACTCCAACCTGAATCCGACTTCATATGGCGTTGCTTGGCAAACGATGATTCATGAACTGGTCAAATACTGGGTACTGTTAGTTGATTGATTCAGTGCGAAAGCTACCGTCAGTTCACAGAATGCATAAACACTCCCACTGATGTATCCCCAAAAACCTACTCTCCGCTCAGTTAGGACGTCAGTAAGGGCTGGCGTTCAGCAGCAGTGCTCTGGTGGAAAATAGAGAAAGAAACATATACACATATTAACTGTCTCGAACTTCACTGCTGTAAATGCTGTTTGAGCAGAGTGTGAGGCAGATCTCTGTCCCGTGGATCGATCTGTTTGTTTAAAACAACATTTCCCAATCCAGTACTATTGCATGATTCACATTTTTCATAAAAAGAAAGTATATAAAATATGTAAAATTATATATCATATATAAAATTATATATATATATATATATATATATATTATATTTTTCAGTTTTTGACATAATTTGAAAATGCCTGTTAATCTTTACATTGTGTGTAAATTTCATGATGAATGAACCAAAAGAAATGACCCAAAAATTACTTGGAAAAAATCCTGGTTCCATTGACTTACATTAAAAGTAAAGAAGGCTTTTTCCTTCTCCTGTAATTTGGAGATAGAAGGTTTTCTTCTGACAACAGCGATATATATGTGTGTGTGTTGGAAAAAAATAATATGTAGTTGTGGCTGTCAGAAGGAAACCTTGTATCTCAATTTGTCATTTTTTGTTTTTTTACTTAAATTGAAATCGGCAATTTACAAAAAACCTTATTCCAAAACAATGTACGACAACTCATGTTAATGAAAAACCCATATTTATTGCTTGGTATTGAACATAATATAAGCATTGATATTTTTTGTATGTGTAAATCCCACTCCCAACAACGTATTATAAAAAAGGTGGTGTGTATTGTTGATTTTCTGTCCAAATAAGTAAAAATAAGTTATCATAGCCTTTAAAGAGAATACCTTGTACACTAAAATTTGCAGGAAAATGCCATATTCAAGTGTGTTCCCCATTGACACTGTGTTAACCTGCTTTCATTTAGAAAATCAAACAACAAAATGTGGAAGTTGACTAAAAGAGGAAGGTTGGCATGCAGCTGTGTGTGTGTGTGTGTGTGTGTGTGTGTGTGTGTGTATATATATACACATATACTAATATATTTATAAAAATGCAATATTGCTCAGGATCAGATGGAGGTGGTTTATGCAGCAGTTGTACCAAATATAAAGTCTATATACAATAAATAGGTAAATTATACACTTAAATGTTCCTAAATGGTTCTTGGGTTGGACGTATGGTTCTTTTACTTGGTGTAGAACCTTTACCTTAATATTGAGGTGCTTTAAACCTTAAAACGGTGCTTAAAACATTTCATTTAGAAAAATGGTTCCCAATACCTGAACCAAGTGATCAAGACACCAAACACCTCCTTCAAAAATGCGGTCTGCCTGGTTGTCCCTAAGGAACGGGTCGGAAAATACTGCTAACAACGTGACGGGGTCTCACCTCTGGGGTCCTCAGACAGCACAATAGCGCCATAAAGACCACACCCAGTATGATGCCAAGGCCGATCACGATGAAAGGTATGTTGATCACCACGCTGGCCTCGGTCAGCAGGGCACCGAGCTTCTTGGCGGAATCCGGGTCAATAAGCACGCTCTGAAAGGAAAGAGGTGGGCAGGGCTTAGGACAACGTAATCAGGGCACAAGTCACGGATCTGGAGACAAAAGGTAAAAGCTTCCATCTGAAAAAACACAGAGCTTTCCTGTGAAGTCCTGTCACCTCTGCGGACATCCTCTATGGACCGCATGACCTTCAGGAACCCGAGCATCCACCGAACACAATCTATCCCACCCTATCCTCTCTCGTTTAGGACAAGTGCCTCATCCCTGAGGCATTCCCCATTTCACACGCGATAGAAGGGGAGCGCCGTGAGGAAGTCTGATCTTGGCACATCCAAAGGCAACAGTTGCCTGCGTATGTGATTGGCGCAGGAAAGTAGGACAACACGCAGAAGCACAAGCAGTGCCAAACACTCAATGCAAAAAAGCACAGTGGGCCTTAATCACGCTCAATCTGCAGCAGCTTCCAACTCCGCCAAAAGCCTCAGGAACAAATACATTAATCCTCCTCTCACAGCTGATTGAGGACAATCCAAAGGAAATCATAACGGCGGACATAATGTTTATAAAGAGGTGGTCTTTCAATAAACAGCAGAATTGTGAAGTACAGCACTGTGAGAGCCAGTGCAGTTGCATAAAAAAAAACAAAATAAAATGTCTCGAGGTCTATAATCAGATTAATCCCATTTGTGTAGCTTTATAATGAGTGATTCCCACCATTTGAGGGGGAATACCTTTCATTCAGAGTGGTTTGGTGTGAAACGCTCTGTTCTACATAAACTTACTGAGTCAGGATTGTTCACAGTGGTGGTGATAGGAACCAGACGTCCACCTCTAAAAGCTCCCTCACAGAAACTTACTGCATGAAATGTTTCTAGAAATACCCATCAAACACAACTGTGCATTATAACAAGAACACAAACATAATCAGAAAACTTTACCTCATTAAGGTACATGACTGGGAAGACCAAAGTCCTGACGTTTTCCGTTTGGCTGTGAGAGGAGAAAGAGAAAGAGGACAAACAATTATCAATGGTAACTATAGGGATACGAAGTAAATGACAAAACATTGTGACACTGTAAGGATTCAATTCAGCCTATAACTGAGTTTCAATCGAGATGTTGTTCAAATCACTATTAAATCTTTAGGGAAGGATTTTAAAACAGTGAACTGAAACTTTCTACTGGACTCAGTTAATCTCATATGTATTACATACATACACATATATCATTGCTGTTGTATGTACATAGCCTATGCATGCACATATGATTTTATATATACACATATATATTCACACACATACATGTGTCTGTATGAGTAAATACCCTTCTGTAATAAGATATCCTGTATGTTATATATATATATATATATATATATATATATATATATATATATATATATATATATATATATATATATATATATACACATACACTGCCTGGCCAAAAAAAAGGTCACACACTCTAATATTGCGTTGGACCACCTTTAGCTTTGATTACGGCACGCATTCGCTGTGGCATCGTTTCCACAAGCTTCTGCAGTGTCACAACATTTATTTCTGTCCAGAGTTGCATTAATTTTTCCCCAAGATCTTGTGTTGATGATGGGAGATTTGGACCACTGCGCAAAGTCTTCTCCAGCACATCCCACAGATTCTCAATGGGGTTCAGGTCTGGACTCTGTGGTGGCCAATCCATGTGTGAAAATGATGTCTCATGTTCCTGAATCACTCTTTCACAATTTGAGCCCGATGAATCCTGGCATCTTGGAATATGCCTGTGCCATCAGGGAAGAAAAAATCCATTGATGGAATAACCTGGTCGTTCAGTATATTCAGGTAGTCAGCTGACCTCATTCTTTGGGCACATAATGTTGCTGAACCTAGACCTGACCAACTGCAGCAACCCCAGATCATAGCAGAAGCTGTGCTATACAGAAGCTATATAGAAGCTACTCACTGCATCAGTTAGGGTTAAATAACTTGTTGCCAGCTGAAACATAATCACCCATGCAGTAATTATCCAATAGGAGGCTCTTACCTATTTGCCTAGTTAAATCCAGGTGGTGACCTTTTTTTTGGCCAGGCAGTGTATATATAAATAATAGCGCTATGTAATAATGAAGCGTCTCATATTTATTGTATACGTGTAAGCATCTTCGTATATATAATAATAACCCTTAATGTATCACAAATACATGGCTAAGCAAGGCAAGTTCATTTATATTGCATGTCATGTACAAAGCCATTTCAATGTGCTTTGCAAAAACAAAAGAAACATCAAAAAAAAATAAAAGATCAAAAATCTTAAAACATAATAAAAATAAAGTACAAAGTACATAATGTAGAATAAAAACATAAAAAGGAATTAAAGCAAGAGACTTTAGTGTTGTTATAATGAGTTTGTTAAGGGTAAAGTGCAGTAAGAATAGAGGGCAAGTTTTAGCTCAATCACAGGCGCATCAAAAGAGAATTGTTTTAACCTGGATTGGGGGTGTGACACTTCACCAAATTCAGAATTCAGCTCAATGTGATACAGTGGTGTCTTAATTCAATGCAAAAGTAAGGAGTGCCTGGAAATGTCACAGTATGTTAGTCTTTTGTTAATGTATTTCCGGTTAATTAGGACATTTAGCATAACATCTATTAGTATAACATCCGAAACAAAAGCTTTGCTTTTTTTTACAATCTAGCCACATTATCACAGTAGCCACAAGGTAGTAATGATACAATGATATGATACAATAAAATACTATATCGCTGTTCATGGAAAAAATCTCAATTTTTTACATTTTTCAGTTTCTGACATAATTTGAATTGCTGTTGTCCTTTACATTGTGTGTAAATTTCATGATGAATGGACCAAAAGAAACGACCCAAAATGACTAAGAAAGATGTCTGGTTCCACTGACTTACATTAAAAGTAAAGTAGGTGTTTTCCTTCTCCTGTAAAGTCACCATTTTTGAGATACGAGGTTTTGTTCCAACAACAGCGATATGATAGGCTGCATTGTTACATACTTACTAAGTATCTATTTGCAGATTATTTGGGTAACACATTATAATACCAGGCCCCTATAAATAGCACCTTCATCTTATATCTAACGATTTGTTATTGACAGTTATCATTATATAATTGTTACTTATGCATTAATAAGCGCTACCACTTGAATTAATATTCATTTATTATTAGATGTCTTTACAGTGGTGGTGATAGGAACCAGGGGTCGCCATGACTACAACACAAATATAGACATTTTATTTACTATGCAAAAACACCAGTGAACCTACACGAGTCTTCTGAGTTTATATGGAATGTTGATGATGGAAAATAGTGGAAAATCTGAAATAATACGTTTTCTTTGGGGACTATTTTGCCTCTGTATGTATTCCTCCACCATCAGTTTAAAGCCAAAATCTTCTCAAAACTACCATAAAACAGTGTCTCAGTCATCAGGCAGTGAATTCATAACCATTTCATGTAGGAACTTTCTGTGAGGGAGCTTTTAGAGGTAGGCGTCTGGTTCCTATCACCACCACTGTGAACAGTTCTGACTCGGTAAGTTTTTCTAGAACAGAACGTTTCACACCAAACCACTCTGAATGTATGGTATTTTCCTTTAAATGGTCATATAGTCATTTTATTTACTATCCAAAACCACCAGTGAACCTACATGTGTCTTCTGAGTTTTAATATTACAGTTATCATAAATTTGAAAAAGTAAAGTTTTCTTTGGGGGGTGGGGACTATTTTGCCTTGCATGTACAAGGGGTACCATGAATAGCTTAAAAAATTAATTTTAGGCCAAAAATCTCAAAAGTACCATTAAAACATATTAGCAAGCATATTCATAACTATGTCTTTCTGTGAGGGAGCTGTTAGAGGTGGACGTCTGGTTCCTATCACCACCACTGTGAACAAGCAAACAGAGCATTTCACAACAAACCACTCTGAATGACTCTGTTCACATCGTAACCATTTCACTATGCAGACATTTATGACGGTCAATGGAATTCCTCTTAAAAGACCCATGGAGCTACAAGCATATAAAAACAAACACAAGCATACACACTGACACTCCCCTCAACATCCTCCACTCAGACATCTGTGCAAGCACTTAAAGCGGCAGGAGGCTCATGTGTTGTGGTGGTAATTTTAGAGATGGCGTGATGTTCTCTTCTCGCATACTGGGGCGTGATTTAGGTGGGTGTTGTGACCTCTGTCCCAGGGCACGAGCCCAGCAGGACAGCCAGGGCTACAGCTGCATCATGGAGGAACCTGCGCAGGACATTCCTTCTTTTATGTCCCAATTCGGCACGGTGGACATACGGCACATTCCGAAACCCTATCCGACCCTCTACCCACAATGCTCCGCATGTCCTACATACCTGAAAAACCCTGTCAATATGAAAGTCCAACAGCAGTGAGAGAAGGCGGCCGGTTATCAGCTGGACCTCTGCAGGTCATGGTCTGACAGCATTGCATAATTCCCCACCTATAATTAACTTACATATGTAACACTGATATTCGGCAGCTGATTTTGGACAGGCCTAATCAGCTAAAGGAAGGTAAAGGCAAGGAAGCGAAAGTAAGACAGGCAGTCACCTTCTGGGTAAATGAGTAATTACTCTGAATTATTTAAAGTGAGAATTTGACCAATAATCAGATTTACACAATGTACCATTATATTAATAAGTTAGAATACATAAAGTTAAATATAGCTGCAAAAAGCAATCACTGGGGTCCAAGCACCATTAGACCAACAAGGCCTTGAAGTTTATAAACGTCAACATTTTATTGATAATTACTACATTTCAGGCTTTTACGAAGATTTTTGTATACAGTCTTCATGTTTATGTTCTTATTGCTCACATGCCTGAACCTCGCACCTTCTGATCAGAAGGGCGATGTTATTTTGGCACTGAAATTTCTGAGACAATATAAATGTTTGTGGCAAGAAGGGGTCAAGCACTACTTCAGCAACTACTTCCCAATTTTCAATTATTTAATTACTGGGAACTATTATTGGGAATTCATTTAGCAGACTCTTTTCACCCCAAATTTTCATTCGCTACATATGTTTGGTCACAAGTGGACAATCTCTGATAGAATAATAGCTCTTTAAATCAGAATAACCCAAACCCCACTACATGTTCTGTAGACATAATAGGCATTTTGTTTATTGTGCTATGTTTTTTAAAAATTATTTTCTTTCACAATTGGCAGACTGTTTCTAGACCAATTTTGAGCCAATATGATAAAAATTCAGAAACTAGTTTGAAAACAACACAATTGCAGAAGAACAATAGTTTTTGAAAATACTTCTATTGTCAGTCCAATTGCAATGCATGGCATTAAAGAAATTTCTTTTCCCAGAATATGAACACTGTAAGCCCTGTTTTTGCTTATTTTTGCCTGTGTGATGGTAGAGAATCCCTACATATATATGTCACTCAAGTTTCATAACCACTGGTCAATATTAAGTCTGCCAAATGCCTGCTGAAAACTGATTGGCCAATGGTGGCCATACTTTTTTAAATGACTGAGCTATACACACAACACCTTGATTATAAGCTGGTTAAAAACAAGTTCAAACTTTTCTATATGACTGTAAACGTCTGTTAACAGCCATTTTTGTGAACTAACTTCAAACTTTAAAGCAGTAACTGGTATGTGGAGGCCATACTATTTACATACTGTTCACAAATATTCAAACTTTTAGACACTTGTGAAGATTTTGGGTGGATAACTTGAAAAACCATAGACTAGTTTGAAAATGTAGGTTTCACACCTTCCATATTTTATGGGAAGAGCTAAATAGTCCCAGTGAGGTATTTATGTAGACTACACCAATGATACTGTAGAAAAATTTATTTTGATTGTACATCTCATAGTTCAGGAGATACAGGCCACCTACAGTGCCACCATCAGGCCAATTCGAGTCATGTCTGAGTGCTGGAGGGTGTTTGGATGACTTACAGTGTTCGCTCCCC